TTTTACACAGTTGTGAATCTTCCGTGGAATGGTAGTTTATTTGCTTCTTCATTTAATAGTCTTTATTCTTTAGACCTGTTGTAGTTTGACAGAAAAATTGAGCAGATAGTACATAGAGTTCCCATATTCTTTTTCTCCCCAGCTAATAGTTTCCCCTATGTTTAACACCTTGACTGCATGTAGTGTATGTTACAGTGGATGAACCAGTATATTACATTTGATGATGATGAGAATCGATGAACTGATGTGTTAACTGAAGTCCATATTTTACATTAGGGTTCACTGTTTGTGTCGTACAGTTCTGTGAGTTTTGACAAATTAATGTGTTGTGTATCCACCACCACAGTCTTACACAGAAGAGTTTCAAATCCCTGTGTTCCACTTAATCATCACTCTTCCTCTCCCTCTATCTCCCTACGCCCCTTAGTCCCTGGCAACCACTGATGTTTTTATTGTGTTTACAGTTTTGCCTGTTTCAGAATGTTATTAATATATACTTGGAGTCATACCACAAGGAGCCATCTCAGACTTGCATCTTTTACATAGCAGTATACATTATGGTCTCTCTCTGTCTTTGTGATTTGATAGTTCATTTCTTTTTATCACTGAGTAATATTCCATTGTATGGAATACAGGTTCTCGATCCATTTACTCATTGAAATGGGTCACTTCTAGTTTTTGGCAATGATGGATAAGGCTGCTAAAAACGTTCATGTGAAGACTTGTGTGGACATCAGTTTTCAACTCATTTGGGTCAATACCTAGGAGCGTGATTGCTGAATCACACGGTAAGACCATACTTAACTTCTTAAGGGCATGCTAGACTGTCTTCCAAAGTGGCTGCGGTGTTCCCCATGCACACCAAACAGTGAATGAGAGTTCTCGTTGCTCCACATTTTCACCAGCATTTGATGGTGTCAGTATTTTGGGTTTTGCAACCACTCTAGTAGGTTTATGGTGTCACCTCATTGTTTTAATTTGCAATTCCTTCATGACATGTGATGCTGAGCATCTTGTCATATGTTTGGGTTGAGTTTTTGTTTTATTTTGTTTTGTTTTGTTTTGTTTTGTTTTGCTATCTTTATATCTTCTCGGGTGAGGTGTCTTTCCAGAACTTTTGCCCATTATTAAAAACATGCTAGTCAAGTGAAGCAATGGGAGTGGAAAAGGAACAAAATAATCTGTAACTGTGTTGAGCGTGGTGGCTAACACCTGTAATCCCAGCACTTTGAGAGGTTGAGTCAGGAATGTCAGTGGAGGCCAGGAATTTGAGACCAAGTGATCCTCCTGCTTTGGCCTCCCAAAGTGCTAAGATTACAGGTGTGAGCCACCGCCCCCAGCCTTCCAACTTCATTTTCTTTTTCTTTTTTTTTTTTTTTGAGACAGAGTCTCACTCTGTTGCCCTGGCTAGAGTGAGTGCTGTGGCGTTAGCCTAGCTCACAGCAACCTCAAACCCCTGGGCTCAAGTGATCCTTCTGCCTCAGCCTCCCGAGTAGCTGGGACTACAGGCATGTGCCACCACGCCCGGCTAATTTTTCTCTCTATATATTTTTAGTTGTCCAGATAATTTCTTTCCATTTTTTTTTTTAGTAGAGCCGGGGTCTCGCTCTTGCTCAGGCTGGTCTGGAACTCCTGACCTTGAGCGATCCACCCACCTCGGCCTCCCAGAGTGCTAGGATTACAGGCATGAGCCACCACGCCCAGCCTCAACTTCATTTTTTAACATGTGCATATTCCGTTATCCCAGCACCACTTTTTGAAAAGTGTCCTTTTTTTTCCATTGACTAATATGGTCACTCTAGTCAAAAATCATTTTACCATTTATGTGTGGGTATTTTTCTGGGCTCTGTATTCTATTCTAATGGTCTATAACCCTGCCTTTATGACAGTACCAAGCTGTTTTGATTACTGTACCATTGAGTACTTATTTGAGGATTTTTGCATCAGTATTGATAAGGGCCATTTGTCTGCTTTTTTCTTTGTTATGTCTTTGTATATCTTTGTTGTCAGCATAATTTTGGCCTCGTAAAATGAACTTGGATGTATTCCCTCCTCTTTAATTTTTTGGAAGAGTTTGAGGAGAATTGGTATTAATTCTTCCTTAAACATTTGGTAGATTTTAGCAGTGAAACTATTTGGTACTGGGTTTTCATTTTTTGGGGGTATTTTGATACTGTGTCAGTCTCTTTTATTAGTTGTAGATCTACTCAGATTTTCTATTTCTTCATGAATGAGTCTTGGTAGAATATGTGTTCCTAGTAATTGTCCACTTCATGTCACCCCATTAGTTGGTTCTTTAATACAGTATGAGGCAGCCTCTCAGTTGTCTGATGGGGAGGTGAGGTATGGGGATATGGGAAGCATTTCATTGGCCTGTAATCTGGCCTCATTTTAGGAAGCCTGTGTCCCTGTGTTGTGACTTTCTTAAGTATTTCTCATCCTCACCCCTCCCTTGTTGAGGCAGGAAGGATAGAGGGGAATGGAATTAGATATTCCCCTTGCCCCGGGAGGTTTGGCTCTGATAACATCGCAGTTGGTAGGCTTTTGGGAAATAGTTTGTTTTGAAGGCAGTACTTAAGAGGAACAGAATTCTCTGGGCATATTTCATAATGGCTACTCTTCCCCTCCTCCTGCTGGAAACAGGAAGTGATTTTTCTCTGATTTTCCCTGTGAGAACTGATGGAGTTTCTGGAGGTAAAGGTCATAAATTAGTTGGGAGCCCCCTAAGATTGGGCCTTCTGGATTTTTACCTCTTAAATGCATCCACACGCAGCCTTCAGTAATTCATCAGTTACAATTCAGGGGTTTTCTATCCCTGTACTGCTTCCCACAGACTGTTTGCTATGGGATTCTCTTCCAGTAAGTTAGGACTCTCTTGTCATTTAGGTTGGTGGGACCCTGTCCAAAATCCGGTTCCCAGATACTATCAAAGGTCAAGCTTTGTGAACAAGCATTTCTAAGGATACGGAGTCTCAGGACTGCTAATGTTTCTCTGCACACTGCTTACTACATCTTTGTTACGATGGGTGCTATAGACCCATTGTACAAAGAGACATTGGGGTGCCCCATGCACCCATACGCCCACCAACAAGAGGCATGTTTCTATTCTGCTGTTGTTTTACTAAATACTTCAGTTCTAGTCTAGTGACAGAAGTGAGTGTAGACGGAGAGTAAGTCTCAGGACCAAGTCATGGAATCAATGTTGGGAGTCCACAGCATCATGTGAACTTCTTAATAATAAAAAATTGGTCCCTAGTGCTGTCAGTCTCACCCATCCTCCTCTACGTGTGTGGGATGTTTCAGGATTCACTGGTCTTTGAGGATGTGGCTGTGAACTTCACCTTGGAGGAGTGGGCTTTGCTGGAGCCTTCCCAAAAGAATCTGTACAGAGATGTGATGCAGGAAACCTTCAGGAACCTGGCCTCTATAGGTAAGGATGGCAACGTTCCTTCACTTAGTAAATTAGAGAACAAGTGCTTCTTGCTCATCAGTGCTGTTCAGTGATTTGGAATGTGGAAAGGGAATACTT